GGAAGGACAACGCCAATTACAGATAAATTGTCATGCCCCAATTATAAATTATTTGCATTTTAATTAACTAGACGAGAAGGAAAGTACAGATACAGCTGAACTCTTATTAATATCTTCATTTGTTTTTCCTAACCAGGTTATCTGATAAAAGGGATGACTTAAATCACCAGTCATTCGTGCTTATCAAGTAACATGTCTCTCTACTCTAGCATACATGTCACCACGTTGAGCACTCAGGGTTCATACACTCTACTGCATGACTATTAAATATAGCTACAAGCAGCACTGAACGGCTAGCGACCAATTTTTAATTCAGGTTACTATGGATGTGCCAATGATTGCTAAAGTCACCACACATGGCTGTTCCAAGTATCTGAGGCACTTCCCCTTCCTCTGTGTAACACAGTTTCGTAGCACGAGAAGTTTACTAGTTTGGTTATCTTATTTTTGAGCACATCACATAGGCGCCTGTTTTCCCTGCATCACTCCCTTGTCTGGTTAAGTTGCGTCATCCATACGGACAATTTATTTCCGTTCAGTCATTTTGCTATTGGCATTTCATTCGGCTCCACTAGTAAGTTACGTCCTGTCATTTGGAATTTAGATTTTATGCTGACCCTCATTTTGATCCAAAAATCCATTGCTCATGGGGTATACGTTGGCCTCTTCCCCGATTATTTTGTAATTGTATTAGTAGTGTAGTATTTGGGTGTCCCTGTAATTCACTAGCGTCTTTCAATCAACTTTGATGTGCCACCTGATTACTGTGTAAAATCTTACAAATGTTCAGTTAGGTTCAGTACTACTTGATGAAAATACAATCAAATTTGATAATTATAACTGCATGTGCTGATTCTATGATGATTTTGTGTTTATCTTGATTTAGAACTGATATATCATTGCTAACAATTACCTAGAGTCATCCGTACATTTGAATTGGCTAGATTTAATACATTGTTACCATGAAATGGATTTGTTCACGATTTTGTGTTGTGTCATACTATTGCTTGTGTTAGTAATCAACATGTCTTTCTAACCTAACTTGTCATTCTGAGGTGCAAATATGCACTGACCTTACCATTGAGTCCTGTGCGACCAATGTCTCTAAAAGCATCAGGGACAAAGGTTAATAACTTTGCAGAATATACTTACTATTAATATTACTTAGAGGTTGTACATTGTGTGTATTATTGCAGAGGAACAACACATAAAAACTTAATACACATTTTAATGTCCAAGATGCTTATCAATAAATGACATTAATCATCTTTTTAACAAATTGTAGAGCACCTTTAGCTAATTAGTTTATTTTATTTTAACATGATAACATTTTGGTTTGAGATGAGTATAGATGTTCTTATTTTCTTCATACGCTTTTTAATTGAAACCACTTTTGCAAAATACGTGAGAAAAACTAAATGTTTTTGTATCTATTTATAGATTCAAAATCATTCATATATGGCTGCACTCCACCAAGTGAGTTAATGTCCCCCAAAAACAAACATTTCTCAGGCTGTCATCCTAGCATGCATTGACTAATTTAATTACATCATCCATATGTGTTTGCTGATTTTGTTTGTATTTGAAACAGTCAATGGTTTCAATATAATGAAATATATTTACTACTCATTTATATCGTTGAAATAACTGCACACAATTCAACATGTAATCGACTATTTGTTTTTCAAGATTAGATTTAAAATGTCCGACTGGTGGTCGATGTTTTATAAAAAAAAATTATCCACATGTTTTATTTAACTATATTAGGCATGAAGTGCTCTTTGGAAAACAGCAATATAAAACGACTTTTTACTTTTTTATGAACATTTGATGCTATAAAGTTGTATACGCATTAATTGTGTATTGGTCAATGATACCAATATTTCCTTTGATTGTTGGTCATGTGATATCATAAAATGTTCATCATACCTAACGTTATCTTATGCTAAATTAAAATTCAATTTGCATATCCTTCAAATACAAGCATGTCATGCCATGTAATTTTGACATTCCTTGTCACGGCAACAAGAACAATTCTGACCTCAATTGGAAAACTTAAATGTCTGACGTAGATACTCACCAGAGTTTTACGTACAACATTCTTCAGTCTGCATAAATCACCTACAGACAGCAGCAATATTGAGTGTTGTGCATTAGTTGAGCCACAGAGTATAACTTGAATGTCTTGTAAAATATTCCTTCGTTTACCTTATCATATCAGACAAATGTAGCGATGCATAGCATCAAGAAAACATGCACGGCATACAATATAATGCTTTTACTTTTACTGATGCCATCGATATGATACACTCTGTGTTCCATAAATACTCCCATGCTATTTCGTACATTCAAGATGTTGATCATGACACTCACTCATTCATTCTCCTCATGACCTTTTTGCCGGCTTTGTATTACGTCATGATTGACTTCTTGTGTCATTACTGTTAGTGCTTACTGTTTATTTTTAAAGGAAACATTCATTGGAGCGATAATAATGTACACGTCTTTCCTACTTTACCAAGATTCTATTGTAAGAATATTCTGCGACTTGTCTAGTTCGCAAGCAATGCCGACTTTACTGTACATTTTTAGAATCAGGACTGAAGGACTGAATAACAAAAGCACATGTTATGCAGGGAGTAGAACTACTGTATATCGCAACTGGAAGGATTTGAAAACATTATTCAATGATGACAGACTGATGAGCACATCTAGAATTAGGAACTTTTTTCTCAGATCGTTTGTTTGAATTGCTTCACATTTTGTTTTAAATCAAGAGTTAAATGATATATGGACACGTCATATACAATTAATTGTGTAGCTTTTAGCACGGGTATATCTGGAGCCACGGTTCATCAATATAACATGTTCCATGGACGTATGATTAATAGTTTCACAGTAGGATGGTTCAAAAGTCCGACAATGAGTTCTTCAACCTTGCTTTGAGATAAACACGCATTTGTATTCATCACCCTGTAGGGTCTGTACATGCAACACTAATAATACAAATGTCTAAGTCTTACACCCGAGAGGCAAGAAGAAACGTGCGGAAGCTGGGTAAGTGTCTATTGCATCGGTATGTTGCGATCCAGGTACCAAACAATTATGAATTCAAAAATAGTTATACCGCGAGTCATGTTTGGGACGGAGGCGTGATAAACACACTCACCTACAAACGCCATAAAACAGTAATTAAATTACATTACAGATGAACGCTCTATATGATGTCACAGTGTTATCTGTCACAGAAAACAGACGTATATGAAAGGTGTATGAACAAGCAGCAGACATGAGGTCTGAATTTGCTGATACTTGATGACGAAAATATTAATTATATAAATATATGCAATTGATGCGGAGATTCGTGCACAGAAAACAAACATAACATATCAATTGGACCTAATTTTGTAAGCCGATTCTAGAAAATATTTAGTGCCTTCTAGGTTTTGCGTTCTATGGCATTTTCAATCTGATGTGAGGCACAGACTTTCGAATAATTAAATACAAATGTTTTACATTTGTTTATGAATGTTAAAGCAATTGCTTAATTATTTGATTCATCCTTATCATTTGAGTAACTTCGATATCATCATTTCGTGTAATGTTGCGTGGAACTTTCAACATTTTCATTATTTAGTCGCATTTGATAACACTCACAGGCGCTGATTGATAATCGCGTGTTGTTGCGTTGATAATTTCCGGAAAGAAAATATCATTGCAGATTATCAATTTGATAGGCCTATTTATTACTTGTTATAAGATTATTCAATCAGTAAATCCAGGTATCAATGATCGAATGCATTATGGCTGTCGTTGTGATGTTAGATCGTCGGAGTTGTTGAGCAAACCGTTATTTCTCCATGGATTGTGTAGCTCATATGTCCATGGCAACACCATCCAATCACTCACAGCCTTCGATTCATGAGAAATAAAACATAAATAATATATTTTGATCTATATGTAAAGATTACACAGATCAATCACTCCTGACATTATATTTATTGCAAAGTGGTAGTTGAAAACGAGTATAAACACCAATACAATTTGAGATGATATTAAGACAATTATTTGGAACAATATTCTTCCATATTCAACGACATAGTAAAAAAAAACATATAAAAACATGCCTAAATATTGTGTTTAAGTTCGAATGTTGGGTAACAGAGCAGAATAGGGAACTGTGTGGCATGAAATGCACGTAAGCCAAGACGAATGTCATTAACAAATCAACACATAACAATGACACATAATTCGGTTCCGGTTCACAAATCAAACATACACATTTTTATAGCCTATAAAATAAACAGACTTTTTAAAATGTATGTGTCGAATAGAATAACCCACTGCGGTAATGTTAAGCACTGCAATGTAATCGCAACATTAAATATATATGCACCAGGCGAAATATTCTGTTATCAGTTTTTGGCCTAAATGACAATGCAACACAGATGCGCCATCACACGACGGGGCTATATATTGATAACGTACATTAAATTGTTTAATTGGCTGAGATTGAAAGGTCTAATCATGTAGAACTCATACCAGTATTACATGTAAACATCGTTGTGTACCCGTGAATTTGTATTGCTGAACATACACGACTGTATACATAATTACATGCTTACACATAATTACGTACATAATCTCGGCTACAATCCATACAGGTGTCCCAGACCTAGATGGCAATTGTGACGTGCCCTCTACAGTCGGCGTATGACTGAGAAATCTTACCAAAATGTATTAATTATCGAATATTGCCACTGTGCTTTACATTGTTATAGGCATACATCACATGTTGAGCTAATTCCAGGCCGTGTTTGCATAGACAATTACGTAACACCGACCATTGTGATATTCATCATGTGTGCTACTAAATCACAGTGCAATGCGCGTACGAATAACAACCAAGCCGTCTTCTGATGTATATTCTGCATCGTATTATGTGGAACTGAATAAAGGTACTCATATTTTGCTTATGATGTGCATTCGGCACCGCACTCTCATTGTAGAGCACATCTGTCTTTTCTTCCATCATCCTCGTCTTGTTCCATATCTCTACTTTGCCTTAATTTAGCATTGACGGCCATTAGATCACTACGCAAACTAGGACGTCGTGCGTGGGGCGCTATCACGCCGCACGCATCGCTTATTTTGCGCCTTAGAGTGACGCCACGGCTGTTGGTTGATAAATTTGGACTTGTGGTGGCGCTTATTTTTCGATGTAAGGCTGGGCTCATCTCGTTGGGCATTTTAGCGTGTTCAAACAAGGCTTGGAATAGCATATCTATATTAATGTTTTTCTTAGCCGACGTCTCATAAAAACTGCATTTTCTTGCACTACCCAGAGTCCTTCGCACATCTTCCAGTCTCACCTCTCTACGTGATTCTTTATCGCATTTGTTGCCAGCTATTACCATGGGAACTGCACTTATGCTTCGCTTGCTGCCTTTGGTCTGCAGAATTTGTTCTCGGATTCGCAACACTTCTTCGTAAGATGCTCTGTTATCGACGCTGTACACTAGAATGAATATGTCACCTGTGGGAATGACAAATAACAATAAGTCAATAATTCATGTTCCGGGGTGAAATAGCACGGGTGCTGATAACAAGCCGTAGGGGTATGACCTGGTACACATGAAACTAGAATAAAGGATATAACCCGAAGGTAAACCGATGATATAAACGATGCCACTACAGCTGAAAACCAGGTTAACAAACATTGGATGGGTTCTGTTTTCGAGATGATTTTATTTACCGTATTGAAATTTCTGAAGATATTATAAATATTAACATATACCGGAAGTTATCCCCATTCATACTGTGGCATCTTGGCATGCTCGAGTTGGCTCATTAAATATCTTCTGCCATCCACCTCACATATATGACATGATTAGGTACCACTCCCGGTGGTTAAAACTCTTTTAAGCGAATCGGCATTGATATTCTGGATCATTGCCAAGAAATATAGTAGGAAATCGACACATTGCAGTCATGCGCAACTACTTAACACATCGTCCCGGTGGCTGATCAGTAAACTAGTCCCAGCTCCGTGTAATGAACGTCACGATTTTTGACGGGAAACGTGATATTGAATAAAGCTTGCTTATGCCCTCAGCGGCAGGTTTTTATTAAATGTCGTATACGATTCAATACAATAAAATAAATCTCTTTAAAATGTTTGAATAAAATATTCCGGATATTACGTTCATGGGAGCTGAAAATCCGTAAGCATGACATCATTAATTACATCACTACGCAAGTTGTGTACGCTGAATTCTGAACTGTAGCATACATCTGAGTTTTTTTCAAAGAAACAAGTAATTCAGTTAGATGCATAAATACTAATGTTTACGTATGTAAAATAACAATCCAGTAACATGCGTTTTAGTGGTTTTAGATTTTTTCATTCAACGAATATTGTTTCGTGTCTTGTCGTCCATATTGCATCTTTAAAGTCCTGATTGTTTGCTTCAAGGAATGCAACCGAGCATGCGCGACATGAATTGCCGAACTTTTTTTTGAACGACACGGCGAATGAGCGTTGCCGTGACGATTGCAACCAATTATTTTAAAATTTAGGACTTTTTTAAGAGTTTTATAATAAAGTACCTAAAACATGACGTCATTATGCGTTACGTGGTGTGATTAATGAGTCGTTTGATACGAGTTAAACCAACAGTCTATCGGCTATCGTGGAATACATGTTGTTGTTGAATGGTTCGAGTTACGGACACCGAGTTACGAACATCGAGTTATGAAAACATAACAGAACTTCGAGTTAAGGGCAATATACATTTTTATTATTGTTGAACGTCCACATCTAGTAACTCGATCTTTAATTAAAAATTAATCGAACTTCGAGTTACGGCGGGCAACATAGATTTCTCGTTTTGTTAACGTTTAAATATAGTAACTCAAATTTTAATTAACTTCGAGTTACGGGAAACATAAAACAAAATAAACAATCTATGTTGCCAGTAACTCGAATTCGGTTAACTGAACAGTTAATTAAAGTTCGAATTACTAAACGTTACTAGACGTTTGACAAAAACAAAAATGCAAGTTGCCCGTAACTCGAAGTTCTGTTAACTGTTATTTGATCATCGAGTTACAATTTGGGCGTGGTTATGCAAAAGTGAGCGTGGTTTTCAACATATGGGCGTGGTCATTTTTGTAACTCGATGTTTTCGTAACTCGATGCCCGTAGCTCGATATCCTCAACTCGAACAAATCAACATCTCTTGAACTAGGGCTTTCATCAATTCAGTGAAACGCGGACGCTTAGTAACTCAGTTCGGGCTGATAATGTCTCTATCGTATGCAGCCGGTATCTTAATTTGAAGTGTTTCACGCGTGCAGCACGTTTCGCGCACGGTTATACGTCAGTTTTATTTTAGTAATATTTCGTAATAGTAATAAACTCTGTAGTACAACACTATACTCCTTGACTATACATACATCATGTCAACCAGTCAGCAATGTACATACTACTATAGCTATATTTAGCTATGGCGGCACCGCCAATCATGGTGCTCCGCTGGCGCATTATATGTAGCGGTAATGCATACTTATACGAGATATTAAGTGGCGGGTTTTCCACAAGGCGCACGCGTACACGATCACGCGTGACTTGAAAAATCAAAATTCTGTATTGATAAATGTTTTGCGTTGTTATTTCATTAAATATTAGATAGTTAGACACCATGTCACGTTACAATCAATTAACAGGTCTCTGATAATTGCAGCAAATAGCAATGTATGTTTCACACCCGCAACATATCCTGGCCGGACTGCCTAATATGTATTCAAGTATAATTACTGACGGTGTTTCATTATCAAACAATAGGTCGGTTGTCATAGAAACAAAGCTGAATCGTTAACTTCTCGTAAAACGTCGACGTCACTGCATTCCAACAGACTACGTGACTCCCATGTTCTATAAATATGCCAGTCAGGACGCCTGACACATTTACATTAATTAGGAAATCTGTTTTTTTCATTCCCATGAGGCAATTGCTTTTATCGAATTAGGCCGTGGTTGTGAATGCGATCAATACCGCTACACGTGCATTCAATTATTGCCTTTTTTTGTTGCAGTATTTAGTTCTATACCTGTAATGTTCTCATCTTTATCTACAACACAATATGCTTTTTTAATGAGTCTTATTTTATTTTTTTTCCCTCCTTGTGATAATAAAAGAAAACCAATGATTAAAAACAGTTTAGTAACGACTTTCATTCTCAGAAATAATCACATTATTTTTCATAAGATGGACTGTTTTAATTAGTGACTTTGCAGCACGCTATAATTATATAAATAATGAAGGGAATTATTGATTAGCAAATGATATGACAAGTCTTGTATCGTTTGACTGACTGTAGATATACAGTCTTTATACGTATTTTAATCAATATGTTACCGATTGATACATTATTAACCTGTGACCATCCATCCAACTAAATATACAGCATAATGAAAATAAATTCCTTAAAATAAAAATACTCCAACCCAGTATTTCCTCATTTCAAATATAGGTGAATACATTTTCATGTTTATGAGTTTATGGGACAACTACCTTGTGCTTCAATTAGCAGTAACTAAGGAGTGATTTAAAAAATATTTATAAAAAAAACTAGTCTAATTTCATCATTATGCAGACCTGGGTAAGATTTATTGTTTTTGAAATCATTCATTTATTAGTATGTCTTTAACTTTTAAAAAGTTTAAAGTTAGAAACCTTCACATAATCAAAAAAAACTAATCTAGTCAGTTCTTCGCAATAGTGTACACTAAGGGGAGAGTTGGTGCCTTTTTACATACTATTCAAATAAATTCACATTTCAAGTTTTCGGGTATGACCTCCTCTCGCCATGTTTTATCCGTTCATGAGGTTCCTATCATGTCCATCATGTCGGTATATTCATTACTCATTTGCTTACATGAATGACGACTTTGCAATGAGAAATCATAGGAGCGCAAAGAACGTCGATGACCAATGGGTATCTCTGATAAATGCTAAATATGCACTTTACAGAGGAGCAGGTTTTTACACTATTCTAATAAATCACGCCATCTAACGATATCACGCTTCCGTGTCGTCAAAATTACGTTTAAATATGGAAGCAATGTCGTTATAATCGACCGTGATGGTTGTGTAGTCGTTTTGCATTTGAAATATAGAAAATCTCCCCAAAACACAATAAGCGTTGACGCACAACTATAGATCAACACTATTTGAACTACCATTGTGGTAGCTATTTACGTTTAGAAGCGCGTTGTGATCGCTTTCACTTTCCGAAAGGATAATGCCAGAGTGTTTTTAACGAGTTTGTATACTCCGAAGAGCAACTACAACTTTTAAACTATATTGGAATCTGTTGATTGCTGCTTAGTAGCTATATTTTATAATATAAAAACAAAGGAATCATGAAAGTAAAGCTGATATCTGGAATTATGATATCACAGACAAGTTATCCATATATTATATATAGTGGACATTTTAGACATCAACCACATATCAGAGTCGACAACAGAAATCAGCATAATGTACAGTTGGATATATGGCAAACTGCTGATAACCTCTTACCTCAACCAATCATCGAATCTAATAGGTTTTTATACGTAGTAATAAAATCTAAAACATGCATAGCCCTGAGCTGTCAGCCATTCAATTACCGATTTGAGAATGTTATATGAAGTTAAGGCACACACGAGGATATAGCCACCGATTCTTACTCAATCAAACACCCAAATATAACAAATTTCCTTATCTCACTACATTTAAACAACGCACCGTTTGTAATCATTCACGTCATGCCAATTGCCAATAAACGCACCAAAATACTCCTCTACAAATTCATAGGGGATACCAATTTAAGAAAGTTGG